GGTTGAGGTTTGGAGTTTAAGAATATCCAGGCCTACAATGAGTGGCACGAATCTTATGTCAAATGTTGAATGGTTTGATCCTACGCCATAACATTGTGGCAATCGAAGGTTTCATCCTAAATTTTATTATAATTGGTTGATATTAATCAAAAGAAGTAATATACAAAGTTATGAAACCTTTTGTTTTTGGCATATTGCTATAGTTCATCAGTGTTACTAATGTCCCATATCCATTCGTTTAAATACGAGAAATAGATGCGATTGGATGGCAAGTGTGTAAAATATTCAAGGCCTAGAATCAGTTGTCATGCACCTTGAACAACAATCTCTGTCTACTCGTCACTATCGGTAAGGCATTTCAAAGAAGTTAGGGTTTGAAACGCAACCGATGCAGTTTGTTGAAGATTTTTAACAGATAATGTTTTGATTGATGATGGAAGTAGCCGTATTCTTATGTTGAAATATAGGAACTACAGATGATGGAAGAGGGAAGAGATCAAATCATCATGGGTCTCTCAGCTAAGACGAATATGAAGAAAGAGGAAGCTTGTATGAAGAGGAAAGGAGGAAGGCGATTGAATATTCAGACACTTAAAACTTAGAGCTTTTTAGGCTGTTACATAATTGACTAAATGTATTATTGTATATTAGATATATCTAATGAAAGAATTTGCATTAATGGTATTAACTTTCTTACTATCATAGATTAACCTTCACGATGTTCACCACAATGTCAAGTCATAATTTGTTATAAAATTCAATTTTCGAATCTAAGGGTTCTTGACTATCATTGCATGTACAGATGGCTAGAGGCAGATCTCGTTTGATTCCTGACGCGTATCCGGCCAAGTGGTTCGCGTGGAGGTCATGGCCCCCTTGGACCGCACTGCCGTGGACCGAGGAGGGTCGATCCTTCGTCCCTGTTCGTCAGGTTACTGTTCTGGGGCTTTCCGTCAATCTGCTCAAAGCACCAGTACTGAGCTGGCCAATCCTACATGTCTCCTTCTTCAGGTACTCTGGCGGCTTCATGCCTCTGCTCAGTCGTCCATTACTGCCGCCTTATCCACAAGCCTTCCTGCTCCTTCCCTTCTGCTTCCATTCCTCTTCTGACCAGATACATTGACAACCAACCGAGCGCAACAGTCCCATCCTACTGTGGCAAGGTTAATCATAAAAATGATCAATAATACTGCTCATTTTAATTATAACTTATTTAAATGTATTAAAATAATTTATAACATTTGTCATTTTCTTTGTGCAGCTTCATCAGATCCACGTAATCACCCTCAGTTTTGGGTAGGCGTGGGATCAGTTAAGTAGCTTATTTTCCAAATGTTTCTGCAGGCATATTTTGTTAAATTAAAATGTTGTACTTAATTCATAACTGGATGCTTGTTTACCGTGTTAATTATATTCAGTTTTCTCGTTTTTTTTTTTCAGCATGACATTCCCGTTTCGTACGAGCAGCGGAGGCAATTTTGAAGATAAATCAAGCTTCGAGCAGCGAGGCAAATTTTGAGGATAATCAAGCTCCAGCTGCATAAAGAAGGATACACATGGGATGCCGTACCACAAGAGGCGAGAGACTTTATTGGGAGGAGTTTCAGGTACTCTTTGGTTTAAGTTCTATCATCATTGAATGTTTACAATTCAGGATACATCCTTAGTGTTGAAACGCTATATTTAATTTTTTGCAAAAACATTTCATATGGGACGAGGCCATTCGGCTATGCTGAAAGTAGCCTGGGAGAAGATATGCGCCGATCGATATGCTGACTTCACCTATAGGATGAGAAAAAGCGGTAAGAAGCAGCAGTGGCGTGTCTCAGGAACTAGGGACGAGCTCGGCAAAATAGGCTTGGGAGGGATCTGCATCAAGAGAAATGCGCGGAAGATATATTGCACAAAACAGGCTGCATGTAACTGCGGTGATGTGAGCAGGTACCTTTGTCACGACACACAGGCGGATCCTATATCTTGCCTATAGAGAATCTCGATTCATTAGTAAGGCTGAACTAAGTCCCTTTGAACAAGAAAACGATGTTTTAATGACAGGAACACTATATATATTAAATATGATCAATATTGCATTAAAAATTCATTTACAAGGCTAAAGAATTAGGATCCGTGAGAGCCACACCAGATGGAGGGTGTTTTACATACACTCACCACGAACGAAACATCGCGATCGTAATACCTTTTTTTGGTCGACAGATCGTGCGCTGAGCGTCAAATGATATTGGAGTAACAATTGAATAATATTTACATTTACCCTCTAATCATTGGCGAAGAATGTACCAAAGTTTGAATAATTAATAAAGCTTGCAATTGCATTGATTAATTAATTTTTTATTTTCAGGATGAACTATACTATCAGCTCGGGGACGCGTAATTGTTTTCTATTCAGTACCCGAGTGAATTCCGACAGCTGAGTCATAGAATTGACGAGGTAAGCGCTTGTATCTGATGGCTTAGGGGGCGGAGAAGAATGAGGAAGGTAACGGCATCGGGGTCTCTAGGCATAATCACAGTTTTACACTGCTCAGTAGCTCACGCTTCTATATACAGCCAGCGCAGCAACGACATGCCAGAAGCACACGTGACTCGCATCTGTGAGATAGAATATACGGGCTCAGCTTGCTTTTGATCAGCAGATGACAGTAAGTGCAAGTAGCTTTAGAGCGCAGTGATGCGCTAGTCCGGTGAGCAACCGTCTGGTAAACTTCTCCCTCTGATCCTGCGCCCTGCTACAGACCGAGCATGTTTCGACGTACTCAAGCACAGCCACTATCCGGCTCCTGATCCCGATGCTGAGACGATTAACCGATTGGTCACCCCTCCTGCGCTACAGTCACACTCCAGCAGGTAACTGCCTCCCAGCGATACCGACACTCAGGGAAAATTCCGACCATCGATCCCTGCAGATGAGCAGGCTGCAGATGAGCAGCAGCATATATAGATTTGATTTTGGACATTTTTATTTTTTCATTTGTATTTTCATATTTTAATTTGTTCAGAATAATAAAAGTTACATTTTTATACTGTTCTTGAATAGGTTGTGTGATATATATGCATTTATGTCAACTTTCACAGGTGCAGAAAAATTTTGTTTTCAAAATAATATTTAATTTTTTTTTCATTTTTGCGACCGATTTGCGACCGATTTGATACCAAAAGTAAAATTATGAATTTATAATTTGCGACCGATTGCAAAAAATTGCGACCGATATTCTGCGACCAAATTTGCGACTGAATTTCCAATTAAACCACGATTGCGACGGCTTGATATGTCTGCGACAAATTTGCCGACTGAATTTCCAAATTAAACCACGACCGAAAATTGGCGCCGATTATTCAAATTTTGCTACCGATTTTATCGGTATCTATTCTGCGACCCGATTGTCTCATCGGTCTGCAAAAATTATTAGTTTGCACCATATTTTTGCGATCCGACATTGTCGGTCCGCAAATCGGTCGGTCGCAAATCGGTCGCTACATGAAATTAGCGACCGATATTGGCCATTTTGCGACCGATTTGTCGGTCGCAAAATGGCGTTTTTTTTGTAGTGATCCTACCTTTAATTGTTGAATTAGACTCTAAAAATGTCATTTTGTGGGTTTCTTCAAATAAATAAATGACTTTGGCAATGGTGAGTTCGTTTTAATAAACTTGATTCTTTAATATCTTCTTTGGTTCAAATGCATTTTAAGCATCTAAACAAAGAATGCAATTAATTTGCAGATTGTTTGTGATGATGCCGTCGAACCTTTTGTGGCATGATTTTAAGTTTATAGTTTTTGTGCTCTTCCATTCGGATGTTGATCTAGTTGCTTTTATTATTATCTCAGGAAAAAACACTATGATTTATGTTTTTTGATCTATTATTATGTATTTGTTCCAGGTTTTTTTAACTTAACTTTAGGTGTATTAGAAAGCCTATTGGCTTGGATTAATTGTCAGGATAAGTTAAGTTTTTCTTGACATATTAATAAAATAAATTGAATTTACTGATAAAAAATGTTGATATTTTTAATTTTATTTATAGTAAGATTCTCATTGATGATAATATTAATAGTTTGATTTTTATATTTATTTAAAAAATATATTAAATAAGAGTAAATAGTATTACATTTGTCACATTTGAGAAAATAATTTGTTCTAAAATATTTATCACATTTGTGGTTTCACTGAATAATAAATATTTTTTTCATATTTATCTTTGTATATGACCAATAATTATTACTTAGAGAATTAGGATTAAATTAAAGATAATATAGTCAAATTTTCAATAATTTATTATAACTTAAATAAAATTAATGATTTTCTTTACAGATGTGAAATTTCAAACGTGATAAGTATTACAGAGCAGATATAGTAATAAACTTGAAATATTGCTCTTCAAACAAAGTAAACTTTAAATATCGTTCATTTTTTAAAAATGGAACAAAGAATAAAAAAATATATTTAGGTGTATGATATTATTTTTTTAAAAAAAATATTTTTCGCTTAAAAAATAATTAAGTTTTCTTAAACATTTAACTTTATAATTTTTTTAGGAAAACTATTAAAATGTTTTTCTATATATGGTCATGGAAGACATTTTGTTTTTTTTATTAATATTACTAGAAAAATTATGTTTATTTCTTAATAAAGTAGTTTGTTAGGAGTCAATAATAAAATGACAGTAACATCCTCCTAACAATTTCAAAGTTTGAAATTATGATCTTGCACGATAATAATAAAATGATCTTTTAATATATTTATTAATGTAAAAATGTAAGCAATTAAATTAAATTAAATGTAAGATTAAATAATAATTTATCTCCCTTAATATTTGAGAATTTTATAAAATATAACAAAATAAAAACAATTTTAACTTTTATGTTATACACTAAAAATTAAAATTAGCTTTATGCAATTTAAACTCCAAATTTGCACAAGATATCCATAATAAAAAAAGAACCCTAAGTTGCTAAGAGCAATATTATACACTTACCGAAAGCGGCGGTATGCCCGTTACGGTGCGTCAATGCTAGAAACTGTGAAATCCAACCAAGGCCGTATCTCTAACCTGCTTTCCTCATTCCCGCTCCGCTGTCTCTGCCCACTGCCTTTATCACTTTCGGCGACCTTGGAATCTCACTCCTTACTTTGCAATGACCACCAGCTTCGCAGCAAACACAGAGTTATCGCGTGTTTTCGCAGCTTCGACCGTAGCCTCTTCCATTAAACCCAAAACAAGCCGACTGTCTACATGGGGATGCACATTTAAACGTTTATCTTATAGATTTCCTCTTCTATCCGCTGCCGCCACAAACAAGGGTGGTGTATTTTCCATGTCAAAGGAAAGTGATAAGACAGGAGGACTCACGTATCGGGAGGCGGGTGTGGATATAGATGCTGGGTCTGAGCTTGTTAAGAGAATTGCAAAGATGGCACCTGGAATTGGAGGGTTTGGGGGCCTTTACCCTCTTGGTAATTATTTTTCAAGGCTTTTAAGTCTTTATTTCGGCTTCATGAACTGCGTTCATTGGCATGGCTAGTCTAACAACAATTATATATTGCTACTGTCAGAAAAGCATACATTTTTTAGTTGGAATCCCTTTCTCTTACAAGTTTCAATAATTTTGTGCTCTATAGTATTCGTACATACCTTTTATGCTATTTATATTAACACTTATTAGAACTGTGTTTTTATATGTATTCTCTGTTTGTCAAGGTATTGTGAAAAATCATGTCCGAAACTATTATCCTTAGGGGACTGAAATTAAATGCTGTTGTCATTTTTTAACTGTTTTCTGTGTTGTGGATTTTGTTGGTGATTGCGGTTTCATCAAGTATTCTGATTATATTCTGACGAACAGGTGATTCATACCTTGTGGCGGGCACGGATGGTGTAGGAACTAAACTTAAACTTGCATTCGAAACTGGAATCCATGAAACTATTGGGATTGATCTGGTAATATTTGAATTAGTTCAATTGGACATTGTTTTATTTGTTTGGTTACTAGTGTATTTACTTCCTAATACATTTCCATTACAGGTTGCAATGAGTGTCAATGATATTGTTACCTCTGGAGCCAAACCACTATTTTTCCTCGATTACTTTGCAACAAGCCGCCTTGATGTTGACCTTGCTGAAAGGGTAAGATAATGCATTTGTTTTATTTTCCTTTCATAGTTTGTACTATTGTGCGTGTAAAGCAAACCGCACTAACTCAAAATTTCTCTTATTATGTAGGTTATAAAAGGCATCGTTGATGGTTGCCAACAATCTGACTGCACTCTTCTAGGGGGAGAGGTACTCTGAAAATTTTATTTCCTACTCTCTACTGATTCAATGTCAATGGCTGCTATAATTCCGTTCACTATGTAGTGCTAAACCTGTTAGACATAGCATAGATCATATTTATAATTTTTATAAAGAAGAACAAGAAAGATGAGTCCATGGTTGCTTATACGAATAGAGAAGTTGTGAGAATGTATTGTTTTTCCATTAAAGCATCTCATGTAATTTATTTTGTCATTTTCTGCAGTCTGTTTAATAGACCTATAGTTGGCAGGACTTAATAGTGAAAATTTTCTCCATAGTAAAAGCTTCTTGCGTTTCTTTCTACACAATACTTAGAACTTATCACCAGAACTTACAGTTTTGCTACAACATAACTTCCTTTCAGACTGCCGAGATGCCAGATTTCTATGCAGATGGCGAGTATGATCTCAGTGGTTTTGCAGTTGGCATTGTTAAGAAGGACTCAGTAATTGATGGGAAAAACATTGTGGCTGGGGATGTCCTCATTGGTTTGCCATCTAGTGGAGTGCATTCCAATGGCTTCTCTCTCGTGAGAAGGTTGATTCTGGTTAAGAGAATTATTACCTTTTTTTTTTCCATCTATTGAATACAATGTTTACTGCACAGTGATTTTTATTGCTTTCCATAGAATATCATCATCAATGGACATATGCATGTATTTACAGGGTTCTGGCTCGAAGTGGCCTTTCTTTGAAGGACCAACTTCCTAGTGGAGGCATTACATTAGGGGAAGCTCTTATGGCCCCAACTGTGATATATGTCAAGGAGGTTGGTTACCAAGGTTTGCTTTATTTTTACATTATTATGATTAGGGTTTTCATATTGATTACATTCTGATTATTTTATTTCCAATTAGGTGCTTGACTTAATTAGCAAGGGAGGTGTTAAAGGCATTGCCCACATCACTGGAGGTGGTTTTACAGACAATATACCTCGAGTCTTTCCAGAAGGCCTTGGAGCTTTTATCTACAATAACTCCTGGGAAGTCCCAGCTATCTTCAAATGGATCCAAGAGGTAAATCCGTAAATAGATTGTAGATGGCATATTTGAATGACATAGGGCAGAATCATGTTTCAATTGCCATTTCATCTCACCCAATAATAATTTGCAAGATTCTATAATTTTACTTCTTGCTGTCTATACAGTGGCAGAACATGGAGAGAATATTTGAATTGGACTATAAGATCTCATCGTATAATTGTGGCTGTTATATGTATTTTTGGTGTGCTATTCATGCATTTTTGGATGACTTTACCTGTCTGTGTTATGAGAATATTTATAATTGTTGCTCGTCTTTGTACCAGGCTGGAAGAATAGAAGATGCTGAGATGAGGCGAACTTTTAACATGGGCATTGGCATGGTTCTAGTGGTAACTGAGGAAGCATCTCGAAGAATACTTGCGGATGGACATTATAAAGCTTATCGCATTGGTGAAGTTGTAAAGGGTGAAGGAGTGAGCTTTAACTAAAACATGCAAATCTTGACCATTCCTTCAGAACGTTTTACCTAAGATTAAGAATACAGCGAGCAGTAGCTTTTTTTTTTTTTTTCTTTTCAGTCATTTTCACTTAGGTGAAACGACATTGACTGAATTATATAAGCGGAATTGTGTAACATTGTAAGCGGAATTATGTAACATTGGCTGAAAGAAATAAACTTTTGAGTTAAAAATCATGAGTCCTAATTGTTTGCTTTACTAGCATTTTATATTTACTATGAATTGCCATTGTTTCCTTACCTTTGACGAGTGTTGTGGTTTTAAGCAACTAAAGAATAAACAGACAGTAAAATCAGAATCAGTTTTCAATCTTGAAATGAAATCATCGTCCATTTATTTATTCCAAAAAATTGATAGATCATCTGAAATGCTATCATAACTAAAAAAGCTCTCTGTTGCAACAAGTGGTACAAGTCAAAAACTGAAAGCAAAATCGTGGTGATAATTCTACTGCCCCGTCTGCTCTTCCTTTATTCTCATAGTTTACACACAGATTATGTGCTCACTAATTTTTTCTGGATCTAGAACATGACTGGTTCGACGGGAGACGCTCCTTAGCCCCTTCGCCCAATGCAAAGCCATCTTTGATATTCTTCCAGTCTTTAGCATTGGATGGCAAATGCTGTCCATTCCCGTTGAATTTTCTTCTTGGATTTTGCAAATTACCCCCTTTCCCTACTGATTGGGCAGACTCAACTTTGCTACCATTCTTCTTTAACTGTTGCAATCTCTGCTCATGACTCTGGGATCTTTGTATTCCATTAGGTTTCAAGTTACTTCTGCGATGAAAATCTTGCTGTCCATTGTCGAAGCCATACAGATTATAAGCAATCATGTTTTTGGGCGGAAATCTCAGCGGAGGCACAAACAGAGGCATCTTGTTTCGGGCAGCCAATAGATTGAATTCCAAATTTGCATCTGGAATGTTTTCCTTGCGTGACTTCTCATTGGGGGCCTCTTGCCTGTATTCAAACATAATTTTTTTTTAAAAAAAAGGTTATATATTGTTTGGTAATAATTTCGCATTTAGCTGGCTGGTAAGAGGTAATGATATAGACAGTACCTTAAGGGGGATTTTTGTTGAAGATGGAGATCGAGTTTTCTCCAATCAATTCCTTTCTCCTGAAGAACAATTTCTCTAGGTCTCGCAGATCCAAAAGGGTTTGGTTTCTGCTTTTGCTGGAGTTGAGCTTGTGCTTGAGCTACTTCTTCCTCTTCTTTCTCTACCTCATCTGCCCATGATGAATGTACTTGACGATCCAGCCTGCTTTCGCTTTCCACCATTTTCACTTTCTTTTTCTCTCTCTCTCAAGTCCAACGGCTCTTTTTCGCTGTTTCAAATACAAAAATTGTGGGCCTGATTTAAAAGCAAATGAGTTGGTTAGTATAAAGCAAGGATAATTTTGTAATTTTGAAATCAGAACTGCACCCAACCATAATTTTATGGTTATTTAAGAGATTTTTACCAATAAATACCCAATTTTTTTAAGCAAGATATGAGAGAAATAAAAATATTAAACTCCTATATCATTCATAGCTACCTTTGAAAAATTAGGAAAACCCATAAATTCACTGATGTACTTTACATAAAAAAAATTCATGACAATCTAATTTTTACACCGACTCTTTTAATACTTCAATTTATAATAATTATAATTATTAGACACTCTTAACTTTTAAAATTAGATCAATTAAATACTATTTAAGATTTATAAAATATAAAAATTCTTATTTTAAAAGTTCTATAACCATATACCAAATTAATATTTTCAATGTAAAAATAAAAAATATTAGAAAGATATTATTATTATTAGTATGGAGAGACGTGCAATGTAGCCAAAATTCATAATTTTATGGGGACTTAATAGATCACTTCTAAGACTTAACCTTCAATTTCACCGTGAACTTTTTAAATAGTTGCAATTTCGCTCTAAATCGATCTTTATATCTTGAATATCCTGAACTTATCAACCTAATTGCAATTACACTTTAATTTGAATTAATGCCCAACTCATTATTTTTGCATCTTAAAATTGATTCGATTTTAAAAATCAAATATTCAATCTTGATTTTTGTATATTATTATATGAAAAGTTGGGTTTGATTTTATATTTAGTTGCTCATAATAAAAATGTTATTGAATATTTTTCGCTAAGGATGATGATCTTTGCATTAAATTATATTTATGTTTATTTAAAAAAATAAAAAAATCATATAATTAATAATTTAAACTATAATTTATAATTACATTTAATAAAGTTCATATTTGGAAAAATAATGATAGCAATAAGGAGGACAAAGTAGTTTGGCGTGGCTTTTCCTCAAAGTCTACGGTGGAGAAACCATCCAAAATGATACTTTTTGATTGATATGATTCTTTTATAAAGATAGCATACTTTTAATTGGATCCTTATTGTAAGAAACTTACTTTAAGCATCCCAAAAAGATGTGGTTATTAGTAATAGGAATAAATCAACCAATCGCATAAAAATTAAAAGCATATTTTCGCTAGACCCAATTTAAAATATCAATCATGCACTAATTAATTAATTCTTCGTTCACTTTTATTTATCATTTTGAGAAATTATTTTCTCTAAAATTACATGTTAATTTTCAGGAGATTAAAAAATATTAATTATTTCTTTAATTATTATATAAAAACTTTAAAATAGGGGTTAAAAGTGAAAATTACAAATTCTTCAAAAATCTTTTTGAAAAGGAAGGAAAAGGATATCAATAAAATGGAATGGTCACAGTCAGGAAATCTGCTTGATGTTTTCATTTTCCCTATGATGGGTAGATTGCTGATTGTCAATTACATCTAAATCTAAAGACGTAGTTACCCTCCAACAGTGATATAGTTCTCGATTTATATATGATGATGAAGTAGGTTTTTTTGGTCGTTTCATTAGATGGGCGTTGGGCATCGCATTCAAATAACTGCAACAAACGGGTTACTAAATTTCAGGGACACAAAATAAAGAAAAATAAAAAAAGTTAAGAGGGAAAAAAAATGTATAAATACCTACTTAGCATTAGCAAGTCTTTGAGCACACTCCATTCTCCTCTGTTAGGATCTTTAAGATTCGAACGCAAGTTTGTAAGAAGCAACTTTTGCAATTGCAGCTTTCCCGCTCAGACATTCATACAAGCACTTTGCCTACATACAGAAACGAGCCACAAAAGCCAAAGCCAAAGAGACACAGAAAGAAGAATGAAATACGTGCTGGTGACAGGAGGAGTCGTGAGTGGGCTCGGCAAGGGCGTTACCGCGAGTAGCGTAGGCGTCGTCCTTAAAGCTTGTGGTCTTCGAGTCACCTCCATTAAAATAGGTTTCCTTTAGCTGTATTTCTTTATCTGTTTGTTTTGGCGTCTGCTTTGATCTTTGTGTTTTGCTGTTCTATTTTATGCTGCCTTTTGCTGTGGGGCTAATAACGTGTATTGCTTGAGGGACTTGATTGATTAATTTTTCCATTTGTAAGTTATCCTGTTTAATTGTATTGATATTGCTTGTTTGGCATTTGATTTTTAAGTTTTGGAACCCAAATTTTTGTTGGTTTCTTATTGAGTGTTCGTGTTCATGTTCAGTTTTTTTTTTATTTTTTATTTTTTCGTTAATCAATTTATTAGTTCATCTATATTATTATTACTTCTTTGCTGATGCAACTAAACAATTTGAGGTTTGATCGTAGAGCAATTACAGCTCTGATGTCTATTTGTGCTTATATCTTGCAGATCCTTACCTGAATACTGATGCTGGTACCATGTCTCCTTTCGAGCATGGGGAGGTTTTTGTTCTCGATGATGGCGGGGAGGTTTAACCCTTTCAACATTTGCTTTTCTTACCCCTTACATATAACTCTTCTCTCAGTCATTTATTTATTTTTTCCTCTTATTACAGACAATAGATAAGACTATATATATATATATATATATATAAAAACTGTTTTTGGTAAGGAAATAATGTAATAATCAAATATTAACAGGTTTATACCTTGGTTTCTCTTAAAAGGTTGATTTAGATCTGGGTAACTATGAGCGGTTCCTGGACGTGACGCTCACAAAGGATAACAACATTACAACTGGAAAGATATTTCAGGTACTTAAACATATTAAGTAGATATAATGAAGCAGATTTATGAGTGCTATATTCTGAGTAATTCGTCTCTCTCTCTCTCTCTTTCTTTTTTTTAAAAACTTTAATCAGTCTGTGATTGAGAAGGAGAGGAGAGGTGATTATCTTGGGAAGACTGTTCAGGTGATGCTTTACGTCTGACTGGATTATGTTTCTTAATGTATTATTTAATTTTCTTTTTTTTTTTCTTGCGTGTGGAAAGTATTGGTAACTGACTACCTTGAGTAATTTCCAGGTTGTTCCACACATCACTGATGCCATTAAGAATTGGATTGAATCAGTTGCTGTCATTCCTGTGGATGGAAAGGAGGGCCCTGCAGATGTGTGTGTGATAGAATTGGGAGGAACTGTAGGTGGGAGCAGTGCAAATATGGATTGATGCATGTAAAATACTATATCTGCTTGGTTTTACATGAAGGATAATTTGTGCTTTGTCTTCACTTTTAGGTGACATCGAATCAATGCCATTCATTGAAGCTTTGCGTCAATTGTCATTTTTGGTTGGTAAGGATACACTGTTTTCTGCATCTTCTGTGACACTAGTGAATATTCTCTATGTTGATTTAGTTACTCTCTGGTTTGATTATTAGCACTTATTGATTATTATCCCTAGAAGATATCTTGTGAACTTATTTAATTAAGCTGTTTTGACTTGATACTTCTCAAAAATTCTAGTTTTTTTGACTTTTGTTTTGTGGTTTATTCTGTTATAAAAATGTCCTTATTTGTGTGGCTATATATGTTAGTTGAGCCAATTAGTTGATTACTCCATAGAGGGGTTAATTGTTCCCATGGGGAAGCTAATGGGAATTGATGTTTTAGAGTAATGGATTTCTTTTCTCATATACTTATGAATGTTTGCAAACAGACAATTTCAGGATTAATTTAACAATTTCTCATGTTAATTTCCTTTCCAGGACAAGATAATTTCTGCCTTATCCATGTGAGCCTGATACCTGTGCTAGGAGTTGTTGGAGAGCAGGTCATATTGATGCATTTTGCTTTATTCTTGTTAAATTTATATAATACTTCTAATTCTTCATGCTGGACTTCATTTGCTTAGGTCAAGTTGATTATATTCTTCCATTTCAATGTTCATGACTCTGCTTGTTGTGCATGCAGAAAACTAAGCCTACACAACATAGTGTCCGTGAATTGAGAGCATTAGGCTTGACTCCTCATCTATTAGCATGTCGGTCTGCTCAGGTATGTCATTTCCTGTGCTTGACACCTATCTGTTTGGAAGAGGGTCAATGGTTAGAATACTTTGGCCAAACAATCTTTAATTTCACTGGGAATTGCATGAATACTTCATTCTAGAGACTCTGGTAGTAGATATCATTGTAGTTCATGTGTGTACTATCCTGTCTTGGGAAATCTCCTGAAACTACTAGAGACTGGTTATCTTTTAGATGTTTGGTGTAGTTCTTTAATGATTATGCAGTTGCATTAGTCGTACCTCAATTTCCATGAGGAAAGTTTTGAAGTCCTTGTATACCTTTTCTGTGTGCTAGAACATGAATGTCCAGAGGCGTCATTGTGACGTTGGCACCTTTGTTTGTACTAATATATACTTCTATTTTATATTTGACAGTTTAAGACGCCAACTGAATTTTTGCTAATTATTTTGCAGCCATTGTTGGAAAATACTAAGGAGAAACTTTCTCAATTTTGTCATGTTCCGGTAATCTTAACGAGCTTTACTTCATACTTGCTAGTGATGTTTGTCTTTTATTATTTGAGAATATCATTTATCTCCTTGTAATCTCTACAGGCTGCTAATATTCTCAATATCCATGATGTTCCAAACATTTGGCATATCCCTTTATTACTTATGGTAGGCTATGTATCAGTTCTTTGGTTCCACTCATAATAATATCATCATTTTTTAAAAAAATTTTAATATACTTGTTTTAATTGACTTTGATACACTTTTCCTTTCACAGAACCAAAATGCTCATCATGCAATTCTAAATCAGCTTAATCTACTCAGGTTAGTTTTCCTTTTATTTGTTGTTGACAACCGAGGCTTAAATCAAACTCGCACTATTAGAGGCTCTAACGAACCTTTACCCATTCAAAGCTTTTAGTCTAATTGAACGAAGCTGGTTGTCAATTTGATCCTAGCTAAATTGAGCCGCTCAATTGATTGCCTTGTATTGCCTTTTATATTAATAGAGACTTTGTGGCAACATGTTGATTATACTGTGAATAATTATTTTGTGGGAACAGCTAACTGGTTATGAACTTGTTGAATGCTTCGGAAAGGAAAATGTATCATAAATTATGAATGAGACGCTGAGCTCAGGAAGTTTGGTTATATTAGCTAATTGGCCATAATGTTTTATTTCAGCATTGCTGCACCTCCTGATTTACAAGATTGGACCAAGATGGCTGAGACTTACGATAATCTCACTAATTCTGTAAGCATTATTATCAGTTATCTTGTAGTTCTCTTGTTTCATAAACTCTTTCTTGTTCTTTTGACAAGATGAGAATAATGTGTGCAGGTAAGGATTGCGATGGTAGGGAAGTATGTCGGCCTGACAGATTCATATCTGTCTGTTGTGAAGGTTTGTCAACTTTTATCTTGGTGTTTTAGTATGAGGAAGAAAGAAAAGCTCAATGTCATGGGCAATTTGAGTGACTACTCAATATTGTGTGTTATTTTTCACGAATTTAAATTGTTTGAAGATAGATATCCTGATATATATTAAATGCCAGTTTTAAACAATTACTGAAAGGCCTTATATTTACACAGAGGATAAAGGTATTATTTTTTTTTTTTTTTTGAGCAGTATTATGTTGTCATTAACTATTGTTGTTATCTATGATCTACAAGATTTTAAAGAGAAGTTGTGCTCTGCACATCTCAATGGCATTCTGTTAATGTCTTATAGAAGAATTAAACTTCTGTTTTAGAATAATAGCATATGTTCACCAATTATGCATTCCATTGTATTTTTCAAGACCAAGCTTACTGAGCCGAAATTTGTGTTAACAAACAGGTTTGGCTGCTTAAGATGTAGAAATCATATCCCAACCTCTTATTATTCTTATTCTGTATCGTGCTTGCAGGCCCTTCTGCATGCTTGTATCGCATGTTCATTGAAGCCATCAATTGATTGGATTGCAGCTTCAGATCTTGAAGATGATAGTGCAAAATCAGTACTGAATCCTTGCTAGTTGCACGTGCACTTTCGTTATGGATTTTGTGAAAAGTTTGCCCTCTGCTAACATTTTTCTATCTTAAACAGACACCAGAAGCTCATGCTGCTGCTTGGGAGACTTTGAGGGTAGGCTTTACATGCCAACAAAACTACTTGCTTCTCCTTTTCCTTGCATTGTCCATTTTCTTTTAGTTCCTGCTACTTTTTCCCAATCCTTATGTCAAGATCACTGTTATTCCCTTTTGGTTCTATCATTTTCTTTTAATTGCTTTGCTTTTCCACTGTTGACTTGGTGCTTGTCTCCATGCTCAGTTGTAATCATTTCACAAATTATTTATTTATCTATTTTAAAATAAATTGATAATAACAAGGTAGCAACTCTTTATTGGACAAGGAGACAGGCCGGTTCATTGCCTAGGGCCTAGTTGCATAGAATGGAGAAAGGGTAGAGAAAAAGGAAACATGATATACTATAGAAAGGGTTTTGAATTAACTTGTGAATTGTTGTTTTCAGACTTAATTTCATTAGGTGCATGATTCTTGCAATTCTCCCTTTCTCTCCACACTCCACCTACTTATTTATTTTCTTTGATTTAAATCTTTATCTATAATCTTCGTAGTGAGCAGCAAAAGATGAAGTTCTTAGTAGAAATAAAGGGAGAAGGCAATTGGGGATGATAAGACTGAATACTTTTCGTCTTCTCTTCTTTTCTCCTTTTAATTGTGTTTTTGACAAAATCCTAATTTGCAGAATGCAGCATGTGTCTTAGTGCCAGGTGGGTTTGGAGATCGTGGTGTGAGGGGAATGATACTGGCTGCCAAGTATGCCAGAGAAAACAATATTCCTTATCTTGGGATTTGCTTGGGCATGCAAATTTGCGTGATCGAGTTTGCACGATCTGTGAGTGATCCTTTTCTTTTTCTTATTTTCTTAAAAAAATAGAATATTCTACAACTGTGCAGCCTACTCTAATTATTCATTTCAGGTTTTGGGTATGGAAAAAGCAAATAGCGAAGAGTTTGATGCACAGACATCTGATCGTGTTGTAATATTCATGCCTGAGGTATAAATCTACTGTACCATTTACTACTACTTACTTTTTGCACATAGGTGTCATGCTTATTTTACATCAAGTGCAGGGTTCAACTACACACATGGGAAGCACAATGAGACTAGGAACTCGGAGGACACTATTGCAGACACCTGATTGCATTACCTCTAAACTGTATGTTCTTTGTTTTTGCCTCATAATTTTTAAATGAACGGGAAACTACATAAAATCTCCTTGTCACTGAAAATTAAAAATACAGTTCAATAATTATTTTCTCAATTCGCATGCATATTATCTTTCCTATGGACATTTTTGCCCAGCTGAAGTCCACAAAACTAGTGTGTGTTTCATTCATGTATGAGATGTAGTGTTGCACCCATAACCACTCAAGCCTTCTCTTAGCTTGAAATGGGAAATTTATGTTATCAGCAATAATAATATCCTACTGAAGCCAAAGGCATGATGACAAATTGATAAAACAAGTCTGGATTTTCTCTTCCCCGATCATTTTATTGACCAGCAACCTGTTACCTGAAGCTGTATATTTGAGGCTTCTGCTGATGTGATGGAACTGGAATGGACAATCTTTCAATCTGAATATTTTGATGTTTGCATTAACTTATTTCAATTGATTTTTCAATTGCCAGATATGGTAATTCTCAATACATTGATGAACGACATCGACATAGATATGAGGTCAGTTGCGTGATTCTAATTTGCAGGAGAAAAGTGCTTAAATAACAGTGTGTCTTATTGTAGGAAGGGCCCCATAATTTTGGCATTATACTGCAGGTAAATCCAGATGTGATTGGAGTTCTAGAAGAAAGAGGCTTGAAGTTTGTTGGGAAGGATGAAACAGGAAAGAGGATGGAGGTCTATTTTCTGTCCATTAGCTTGCTTGTTTTTGTTTAATTTTTTTTTCCTTTTGTAGCCAATCCATTTCTGACACGTTGAAGCTCACTGGGCTTCAGCTTTCTACCTGCCATTCTTTCTGCTGAAGCGACATGAGTCAATTTTTTTCTTAGAAACGATGGAAAAAATAAGCTTAACTCCTTTTGCTGTACAGATTTTAGAGCTTCCAAGCCATCCTTTTTATGTTGGTGTGCAATTTCATCCAGAGTTCAAATCACGTCCCCGAAGGCCCTCACCTCTATTTTTAGGTACTTATCATCATTAATTGAATCATATTTTCACCAATGGCCTGTATCAATACACAGAAGGGAAGATCAGGAATATGATTATATCCTTGGAGAAAAAGATTGGCCCGGAACAGCGATAAAAACAAATCTTCAACTTCCAATGGTTTTGAGCGATGCATTTTATGGTTCTGAGTGATGAATTACTGGTTTCTTGTTTGTATAATCAACAATAGTTCCTTCACCTTTTCCATTTCATATGTCATCATCAAATTACTTTATTTGATTGGTCTAACATATATGGAGAGAGTTATCTATATTTATGGAGAGAACCTTGAAAAGTCCTCTCGTTGAAGGCCATAATGTTATAGATCGAAAATGAGTAGTATGTGCTCTCTGAAATTTCTATTTCTTGCAAATTAGTTATTGATTTTTATTGAATTTGGCTGTTAGAGTTATAATTATGGCATTCATTGTGTAGGTTTTATATTGGCAGCAAGGGGGCAGCTGGAATCGTATCTCAATGGTCACCAGAATGGAATTTGATTTGAGTGAAGCTTCAAAGTCAAGCTTAAGAGGTAATTCTTTCTCATGAGAAAGGAAAATTTTGGGGAAACTAATTAGATTGATGAACTATTAGATTTGTAAGTTGTTCCTAATTGGGGCTTTGTGGGTCATTTGTGTTTGAACTGCGGTTTTATATTTGATATCTGAATTATTATAGTTGGTTGGCGGGGGCAGCTCCTTACTGAACTGGTCCATAAAAGTCATACCATACATGACTCCCAAATGTACACTAGTTATATAAATATGCAAACTTTAACTTTTGCTCCTAGATATTTATCCAAATCGTATCTATTGCAATGAGAAGACAAATGTTCATAGGTTGCTAGTTTTGAAATAGGATAATATGCTTAGTTAGAATGTAGCATTATCCTAGGATAAATTACTAAAGCCAATTTGGTTCAACTTCAAAATGTAGAATGGGGAGGGGGAGGTATTTAGGAATTTCATTTTAAGATGTCTACTTTTTGTTTCCTGTAGTAATCAAATTCAATTAAATTAAATTAACTTAGGCCTTTATATTCTGTTTTCCTTTGTCAAATTTATGTTCTAAGCAGAGAAAATATTTCCATTATTATAACTGCCTCTAAACAAATAAAGCATGACCATAATCATAATGTAATCGCATAAGAATAATATTTCAAACTCAATGGAAGCTTTCTGGTGTTTACAAAATGCGGCAAAATACTTATTTTACAAAGGGTGGAAAAAAAAAGAAAAAAAGAAAACAGATAATGAATCTGCAAAAAGTTGAGTATCAAAACTGGAAACCAAAAACAAGGAAGCAAAAAAAATCATCTCCAGAACAAGAGATGATCAACTTGTGCCTCTACTTAGCATCTCATGGTATTGCAAAGAAGATACTTGTCTTTGAAGCCTTATTTGCTCATAAAACTTAGCTATAAATTCCTCAGCTCTCAAATCAATCCCTTTTTCGTCGTCTTCTGTAACTCTCTCCTCAAAACCTTGATCATATCCACAATCCTCCTCTTCTTCTCCACCTTTCAAGAAACTCATCCTTCCTGCTTGATATTCGCTGACTTGATCAAAATCATAATCAAAGTCAACTTGTGGTGTAATGCAAGGAAGGTTGAAACGCATGGAAGCTGGGCGGTGCATCTTCACATGAAAAATGGGAGTCTTATCAAAGGAGAGCTGGCGCTCTCCGTAATGGAGAGGGGTTGCATTACTATTGTGGCCGAAGCTTTTAAGAAACTTTGGTAAAAGACGTAGTTCCACCATTAAACGTCTCTTGAAAATACCGCCTTTTCTTGCCCATAACAATGCTATGCGCAGCAGGTTCCATGCTCTGCGTGTAACATCACTAGTTTTTCTCGCCATTTTCGTTTTTCTGCTTCTTTTAGCTTTTCTTGCTACTGTTAGGATACTTGTTTTGTGATATCAGTAACAAAATCACTCTTCAGTTCGAGGTTTTTCGAGCTGATGGATTGATTTGATGGAGTGAAATGGCATGCTATTTATATATGCATGTCTTGGATTTCGATACGCGCTTTGTTGGAGAGAGAAGGAGAGTCCTTAAAAGTTAATCTTCTTTTTCTTCGGAAAGTCGAAAGAAAGTTGTTCGGTGTGGAAAGGTAACTTATGGGCGGTGGTCCCAGTTGGGACACGGCTGTACTAGCTGGAGCTTTCTTTTTGTTTTTTGGTTTATTGTTTTTTTTTTTAATCGAAGAAGATTCAAACATCAGACGACACCGTTACTCGAGTTTTGTTTTGGTGTGCTGGTTAGAGCTTTGTTTGTTACCCAATATAGCCTTTTGCTTGTAGGACTTTTACCAACTGTTCTGCTTAATTCAATTTCAGTTGTTTAAAAAAAATTAGAAACGAAAGGGTCGAGAGAAGTAAGATTCCAAAATTTGACAGGTTTTAGAGTCTTGCATCCTCAAGAAAAATTCAATTCTTTAATATGCGGATCCTTTATTTTTACATAAACATGTAAAAGTACTTTTTTATTTAAAAAAATGTAATAGTTTTAGCCAAATATAACTATTTTACGTATTATTATTTATAATACTCAAACCTATATTTTATTTTAGTAGATTATACATATATTTATTAAGTAGTTTCTGAACAATAGTTATATATCCTGTAATTGGTTATTATAAAATTTTCATTGCATATGTATGAAGCAAGTAAAATATATTTCTTAAATATTTTTTTATAATTTAATCAAATATAGTTTTACTTTTTTTTAAAATTTTATTTATCTGATAATTCATCCTTTCCTTGAAATTACTTGAATTTTGAAAATCAAATGCTCTTAAAAGGTTAGTACTTAGTTGTATGAAGAAGGGTACTTTGGTCACATAGTGTAAAGATGTTCTAGAAATAAACAAATGATTGCAGCAAAAGGCCCCGAACGAACATGAAACTAACACAACTTTGATTGGAGTTTTTGTCTTTTTATTGAATAAAATAAAAAAAATTCTGGTAGAGGTAATGTTCTTTCTGCTTCCAGGAAAGGATCTTAAGCAACAGAGAAACAGGGAAAGCTTGACCCTTAATTTCTCATTTCATTTATTTATTTGTTAAAACGATAAAGACTTAAGAGAAAAAGAAAGCTTGGAATGCTAATATTATGACTATGAATAAAAAAAATTGCTAAACCGTGTTTGGGAGCTGTACTAATCATATGGTGTCTTTTTCAAATAATGTCTGCTTAATTTTTAAATCACAATGTGAATCTACAACGAAATACTTGCAAGAAAGACATCCTTTTTTTTTTTCCCTTCATAAATTAAGACTGGAATTTAAAAATATATTTATATATTACTACTATTGTAGCAAAAAGGGAGACTTGGGAGTTAACAACCAGAGGTCAATGCAATAACTAAGGAAGAAACTAATAAAATTTGGTGCATGAAATGACTTGGCTGCCACTCAGATTCATGACTTAATTTAGGGCATTGACTGTTGGCTAAGGCCCTTGTGAGCTTTTCATGGCCCTTAATTATGGGATAGTCCAATTTTTTTATTTTTTTATTTTTTATTTTTTTATTTTTTATTTATTTTTTTTTTTGGGTGAAAGATGGTCTATCACCTAATTTGATTGATTACCTAAAAGTTAATATTATGCATTATCTATGCTGCACAGAAATGGAAATGCTCATAAATGTAGAAATGTGGAAATGATATGGGAATTTAAATATAATGTTCCACCAACAAACAATATTTTATATGGAAAATAGACACACGAAAACGTTCCAAGACAGATAAATGTTAATGTCTGAGAGTTTCCATGCATAATAGTAGACTACCCAACAAAATTAATATTATTTTTTCATAGAGAACTTAAATTCCAGATAAAGATCAATTAAAATACTTGTAATAATTGGTGAAGCTTTATTTTGGCTGTTTAACTCTTAAATATCGTATAATTAATGTGGATCATTAGCTTGATTCCAAAAAGTTTTATAATGCCATGATAATCACGGAATGATAAGAAATTTGTATAGCTGTCTTATTATATATATTTTAAAGAAAAGATAAGACGTTTGTATTTAAAATCTATAAGTTCCATGTGATGAGGATATCCAGGACAAGTAATGTAGGTAGGAAGCAACAATTCCAGGAAGCAATGACCAAGTTTAGGGTTTGAAACTTTTTGCTCCTCTTTTTCATAATAACGGTTAGCTGTTCCAGAAAAAGAAAACATCATTATGACCGGTTAGAGTGGACTGGCTGGCTGGATGGCTGGCTGTGCTATATAGCATTTCAGGACAGGCTAAGGGGGATGGACCGTTGTATGATGGGCCCTACAAAAATAAATTGCTACCCTTGTAAAATTGGCGTGACATCTGTTACGAAATTATCTGGCGTCCACAGTATTTGTCAATTGTCGTGGTTTTGTAATTGTATGTCGTTGAAGGCTCAAGGTGAAGTGAAGCTATACTGCAAGTAAATTTTTACGTAACAACATAATTAAGCCAAGCAATTACCAGCTGTAAGCTCTATCATACTTTAATTCTAATTTTCTGAATATCATAAGTTAAAACCTAGATATTTGCCACCAGAAACTTCTTTCATTATTATTATTATTATTATTATTATTATTATAAAAAGTCAATAATTGAAAATAAAATCAGAGTTATAAGATTCAAATTTTAACATACTTGATAATTAAACATACTTTGTAGCTTAGAAATGGGAATTAAGGATAGTTTAAATAATGATAATAGTCATAATAAAGAAATAAATTACAAGTTCGACGTCAAGAGAAGTACATTTGTTAGGAAGATCAACAACGTTTTGCACTCTACAGCTCACACTGGAAAAATAGAGGAATACTTCCTGATTCTAAAGGAAAAAAGAAAAAAAAAAAGAAACAAATTATAAGAATTACTTAGGTTTAAAAATTGTGGTTGAGCATGGCCAACAAGGATTAGTGATTTATATCAACATTTAATTATTTCATGGGTGAAATTATAATTATTTGATTTGCTAGATTTAGATAATTTTTCCTTCTATAACTTTTTTATTAGAGGGAAGAAAGTTGGGTGGTTGATCACACAAACTTGCGGTCACAAATTACACGAAAATGCTGTTGAGAAAAAGACATAACTACAAATCTTTGAATGTAAATTAATTTTATATCTAAAACAAATTGAGAATACTATTCATTAGTTTCTTTTTCTTTTTATTATTTTTTGTCTTTGAAATTTGCTTTTTCTTTATTAGTTTTTGAAATAACCTTAACCTAATAATATTTTTTCCTTTTACAAATCCAACTAGAATCCAAATTGGAATTTTTGGTTATTAACTACTACATAATAATAGAGCAAAAGCCTAAGCAAAAACCTCAGAATATACTCTTTTATTCCTGGTAAAAAATTTATTGCTGGTAAAACATTATTTCTTCTTTTCTATATATACGCGTCTCCTCCCTTCTTTGTTTCCTCAAGTTTCTCCCTTTCTTTCGCACTCTCACCGACAGCCCTTAGCGAGTTAGCGGGGCTGAAAGCTTTGAAAAAGAAAAAATCCTCCCAAAGCAAGTTTTTTTCTCTTTGATGGATCGAAACTCATCAAACATCGCTGTTCTTGACGAACCACTTACCGTGAACATAGCAAACTTCGCTATTCTTGATTCTCCGGTTGCTGTGAACAAAACCAACAAAGGCAATGTTGAGCGGGGTCGTAATTTCGGATGGACGAAGAAAGGGAGCGGTCCCATGCACCTCATTAATAAGCTAGCTACGCATGTACTAAATTTTAACAAATCAACTGAAAAGAAAAAGGTCCGTACCAATGAGACTTCTATGTGGGAAAGTATTGTTTGTTCTATCCGTCCTCTACACTTACAGAGTCAAGAATCTCTACGTTACAGCATCGACTGCCGTCCGCCGCGGGAAACGGTGACTTTACCAACCGTTCAGGCGTTTGGTGAAGATATAGACGATTTTACGCCACCCATGTCTCCAAGTCGAGCTTCTTCGTTCTCTGATAATGCCATGAGCCAATATGCATCGGCAGTTAATCTTCAGGAGCTTGATGATGAGGGCAACGTAGACAATCAAGAGTACGAATTCTACGACGGAGATGAAACGATAGACGTTAAGGCAGAGTTGTTCATCGCTCAATTTTATCAACAAATGAGGCTTCAACAGGGCCAGGCTGACAATAACTGAGGTTTGCATGTTCCATGCAGGGAGGGGAAATAGAATTGCGCGAAGACAGGTGTGTGTTTTTGTATGGAAGTTTTTATTTTCTGTAGTCGCTTTTGGGTTTTTATATATTGTAATATTTAAGTTGAGAAAGAGATTGAAGGAGGAAAATAGTACTGTGGGATATGGGTTTTGTTTGAAAATCTATATCTGTGTCTTTAAGTGTTTTGTCATTCGTCTTTTATGTTGATTTTGTGTATCAAAAAGAAGCGAGGATCCAACATCTGCAAACTTTAGTTGAAGTTTAGGTACGTTCCTGGATCCAGATTTTGATGTAATAAATAAAAGAAACATATCACTTTTTTATATCTTTATTGATGTGTGTATTATTTTGTCAAATCATCTTCTGAATTGAATCTGTTTCTGTCGAATAATTTCTCAGTTTGGTTATGGTTATGGTTATGGAAAAATAATCACTGTTCTGATACAGAAAAATTTGTTTCTGCGTATAAATAGAAATGGGGATTAAGAATCGACTGGTTTGTGGCTTGCATGGGACAGGGAGAGTGGGTTGGCAGTGGTAGACAATAAAAGTGGATGGTGGATCTCATTGTAGCTAAAAACCCAGGTAGTTGGAGAAACAAATTCAATGCATGTTTCGTGGTAGGCCGGTAGCGGTACAACGTGCGTACTGGGAATCTAAACTAAACCCATGCTTTGATTGATTGGATATGGACGGGCCTCTTTCTCTTTTGGGAGTTCATTTCTTTACTTGGTGTGGTCACCCTCATCGGGGCCCATTTCTCCATTATAAACCTAAAAAAGAATAACATATGAATGGGAAGAAAAGAATGGAAGGTTGGTTAGTAACTCTTTTCAAGTTTTGATTGGTAGAAAATTTAAAGAGAAAAGCTTCAACTATAGTGTTAACAGACCGGGTTTCAAATTCTCAAACATATTACTCCCTCTATTTCAAAATATTAGTCAATTTTTTTAAAAAAGTAATAAATTATATTTTTCCATCACTTTCGATGTCTCATATTTTTAAAAAAAATAATTCGATTGATGGAATTCAAGGTTTTGAGATAAATAATAACTTTATAAAATTACTATTAATTTTATTATAATATAAAAGAATTAATTATTTAATTAATTGTTGTGTAAAAATCTTAATAACTTATAACAGAGCGAGTAATCATGTTTGCATGGTCAAAAAAGATGTTGAAATCTAAGGACAACTAATGGTCATTTTACACACTCTAGGACCAGGCCTCATGAGTCATGCCGCCAACTGCATCAAAAACACATTGGTGAAACAATGTCCAATCACAGGCCCAAACTTTAATGGGCTAAGCCGTTAATCTGGGTATTCACTATTCATGAACCGCACTTCTCAATCTGTCCGCAAACGAACTGAACCACACTAAGACTATAATCATAAGTTGAATTGATGTGGTTTCAGTTTTGTATAAGTTGACCAAATCCAACCATAGACATTAGTGTTGGATTAGGCTATGAATTTAATAGTGGCACACATCTCTTGCTTAGCGAGTATTAATCTTTAATTAAAATTCAAATCAAATGAAAATGACAATTATTAACTAGTAAAATTCACCTATTAAAATTACTTTCCAATATCAAAAATTCTATTGACTGACAAAATGAGACCAATATATCCTTTCAGTTTGATAATAATAAATAAAATAAAATAAAAAAGAAAAGAAAAGGAAATCCAAAGGTCCAATACTCACAGGATGCACCATTTTTAACATAGACAATAACCAAAGCTAGCTTTAGCTTACCATTTCCCAATCTAAAGTATACTGCCACATTCGCACAGGGGACCACTTGATATGGACCCTTGCCACGTGCATTAATCAGTGCCGTCAAATTACTCTTAGTAACCATGGATGATCTTTGAGCACTTGTTCTTGATCCAACGCAGCCCGTTCTTCAAAGACGTCTTGACTTTGCCTTCCACTGTGTAAACTTTATACTTGGCAATCCTTTTCTTCCGCTTTGTCTCTGGATCGCTAAAACCCCAGGGCGTTGACGTCGTACGAGTCTGCCTGGTGGCGCGAGGCGGAATAGACGGCGGATCGGGAGATTGCGGTCTAGTGGCGTAGATCTGATTGCTAGTTCCAAAACTCCTCCCGCTTACAATCTCGAACCTCCGGTCACCGCCGTAAGATCTTTGACCGTACGAGTCCATATCGACAATCGTAGCCTCGATGGTGAGATCAAGATAAGAGAAGAGAAATGTATAAAAGAAATGTTAGGGTTTATAATGTGACGCTATGAAACAGGCGAAGGGCATAGATGGAAAATAAAAATATTGCAGTTATCGTAGAAGAAGAAAAAAAAAAAAAAACTGCAAAACAGAAGGATAGAGATAAACCTTTATTTAGGCTTTTGGGATTTTTAACCAATATAAATTTCCATATTCTTTGCAACTCTGTGTTGAAGTGGTTGTGGTCTCATTACTCGATGAAATATTTTATTTTTGATTTGATTAAAAAATAATTTGAGAAAAAAAGGGAAAATGAATATGAAAAGAAAATAATTTAGCTGGAAGGTTTTTTTTATGAGGAAATGGACAGCCAAAAGCTTCTGTGTTTTCCTATTATTATGATGTAGATTTAATTAATTGATTAATTAATTAATTATTCTCTGTCATTTCTTAAAAGGTAATTTGAAATTAAATATGCTATGAAACAGCTTAGAATTGCAAGATGCTTTCCTGCTCGCTAGTCACATGACAATTTTTAAAGTATGCGCTTGGACAGTGGAATCGGCAATATTAATTAATAATTAATAAATTGGGTTCTTGTATTCCTTCTCCTTTAAGATTTTATTGATGATGTATGATGTTTATAAAATTAAAATATACATTATAAAAAAAAATTAATTGAAAGGGTATTTTCTTAATAAAATGTAAAAGGTTTATAAAGTCGCATTGCATCAACTTCAATACTGGAGCGTTTTGAATATAAAATTATTGAATTAATGACAGACTTAATTATCACAGGTGGAGCTGAATAAATTCACAACTCACGTTAAAATAAAAAACAAAAAAATTGCCTGCTTGAACTCTTATAATAGAGAACTAAACTGAGGGCGTAAGTTTAAGACAAAGATCAATCCCTGCATCTTCGTCAGAGATCAATTTACCAGGAAATTCAACGAAGGATGATGGCGTTGAAGCAATAACTCGAAACGGTTGCGCAGCAACATAAAGTCGAGGAGGAGTTGATGGAAGCAGCAAGGGAGACGTCGATGGCCTAAATTTAGCAGCTACACCAATGTTTCTAATAAATCCTCCATTATAAATAATGGAAGAAGACGACGTTGATTTCATGGCATGTGAGCTCAAAATTGGAGCAGCTGCAAGCAAGCGTCGATCGCAATGGTATTGTGCTCTTCTCGCTCTTTGCCTCTCTCTCTTATGTGCATTTTGATGGCCTCCTAATGCTTGTGAGTTGGCAAAGGCTCGCCGGCAAAAATGGCACTCGAATTTCCTGCTCTCTAAACAATTTTCAGTTTTGTCTCGGATTTCATCGTCGTGGTCAGTTAATGGAAAACCAAATAATTTCAGGGCGGAAGGCTTCCTATCGGATGGTTGGGATGGAGATGAAGTCTCAGCTGCCATTTTAGTGAACTGAAGTGAAGTGAAGGACCGTCTCTTTTGCGAAGTAAAAGAGCATTTACCCTATATTTATAGACACGGAGATCATAATAGTAATAATATATATTAACACAAATTAATGCTATCATATAGGTAGAAATTAAGGTTGTTCTATGTAACGATTTAATGTGCACGTGTTGGTTTTAAGTTGCCTATCGAAGAATTTCGTGAGCAAGCAAGCCTATCGTATTGGTGGCACATAAGGGTTAGGCTAAAAAAAAGTGCCTGAATGCTTTAAGGTTTAGGTTCACTTGTCCTCTTCCTCTATCCAAAATGGAAGCAAAGCAGGTGTGATGTGTCTAAGTAATTGTACGACGTCGTGATGGATATATCAATTGAAACGAGACAACACGAGGGGAGTGCTACCAGAGCAACCCGCGTCTATGTACGTGTGCGCAATTTTTTGATTAATTGGTTACATATCATTATATGGCAACGTGGCATGTATTCAAATCCTAAAGCATCCAAACAAATCCTATCCATAAGGTAGATTTGTTTTTTTTTCTCTTGATATATAAAAAGAGATAAAGCGACACAAATTAAAGAGAAATGTTGCTACTGCACCATTATCATAATCCATTTAATATTTTTGCCGTGACAAAGTGAAAGTGAAGTATAATAAAGAAAAACCAATCGGATACTAACGTAATTGGTATTGTTATTAATGTAAAAAAAGTGGGAATTCAAGTCCTTTAGATTATACAAATTTTCATCAATTTAGTGAATTAAGGAGGAGGGGCCTCATGTTGTATAGTCCATTGTCTTATCTCTTTTTTTTTTTTTTTTTTTTTTTTTTTTTTTAGATTATACAAATTTTCATCAATCTTAGTCGAAATTAAGGCCGCGCAGGGGCCTCATGTTTGTTATAGTCCAATTGTCTTATCTACTTTTTTTTTTTTTTTTTTTTTTTTTTTTTTTTTTTTGGGAGGTGAAATTCCTCTCGAGCCATGGAGCATAAAGGTTTTTAACCCTTCTAATACAGTGTATTTCCCGGAGATCGAACTTATATTCTCACCCTTCAAGGGATTGAGGTGGTAACACTTCCGTTGGTGTTATTTAAGTTTATTGAACCTTCTAACGAATAAAAAGATATAATAAAAAATATTTGTCTACATTGGATAATTATATATACCAAATAATAGTTAATTGAATTAAAAAAAATGTTATAATTTATTACTTTTTTTTTTACTTATGCGTAAAATTATTTTTTTAGGAAAATGCAAAAAATATTAATATATTTACATTTGTACAAAATAATTTTATTAGATAATCATAGTAGGGAATTCATTTTAGATAATTAGTACGAACCATTTGACGTACTTTACCTAGTGTATATATTTGACACGTGGTACATCTCTCTCTCTCTCTATATATATATATATATATATTTTTTTTTTTTTCTCCTCTCTCTTCTCTCTAATATATTATTATATAGTATATCATTTTTTGTTTTTTGAGAAAGTCCTCTACTACATATAGTTTCTTTATAGCCTAACGTCGCTAACTCGCAAAAAATTGCAATTGGATGCAATTAACTGACAAGAGAATAAGGGTGGTCGGCCACTGACGTGCTCAGAGACAAACTCGCGATCACTTTCGACGCCTTGTACAGTTTGGGTGGGCGCGTGTATTTGTTTTTTATATTGCATAACGATTGCGACAGTGGGTTTTCCCACAAGTCTAAGAGCCTTGATTGACATTGTCTTTAGTTTCCACTGAAAATTTATTTGCTGGAAATTTATTTTTTTTTTTTTTTTGAGAAAGTCCTCTCTACATATATTTCTTTTACCTAAGTCCTAACTCCAAATTGCAATTGGCTCATTAACTGACAAGATAGGGTGTCGGCCACTGAACGTGCTCATGGACAAACTCGCATCCTTCACCCTTACATTGGTGGGGCGTGTTTTTTTTATCATACGATCACAGTGTTTCCCACAATCTAAGCTTGATTGACATTTCCTTTATTTCCACTGAAATTTATTTCTGAAATTATTATACAGGCTTTTTTTTTTTATTTTGGGTAACAATTGTTTCTTTATCTTGGAGTTTGACACTTGCTGACAAGGAACTTAACACTTAAAATCGTACGACGTCACTTTTGTCTCTCCTTGTCCTTGAGTAGTTCCACAAGTTAGAGAGCAAAACGAGCAGCACCAACCTTGGGGTTCTCATGTTTATTATCCTCACGCGAAACACTTATCTACCGCTGGTGATGTATTCGTACGTACACCAAATCAATTATAAATTTTAAGTTTAATAAATAACCTATGATATTTCTTTGTCATAAATCAAGGTCCATGTTCTATATAGTGATTGGTGATGGAATTGTTTGGCCATTAATTACCCTAGGCCTATCTATATATTATATGCTTGGAAGTTCTTTATATTCTGGTGATAGCATTGCTCAATAATTGACAATCCCGTGTGAAAATTCTGAAAAGATGGCTAAAGAGTGTATAGCCCTTGCTTTGCGCAGCTCCCAGTCTCCCACCATTTGCTTCATGGTGTCAAATCATGCATACTTTAGATTCCGGCAGTCGGAGAAAGTCATTCTGTACTGAACTGGTCCTCCACAGGTTACATGCACCATTTCAAGAAAATTAATTATTCAAAAAAAGACAAATTTAAGAGATAAATCAAAATTTAATCATGATTAATCACATAAAAGGTGATTAATTAATAGTAAGCAGGAGTCAAGCAGCTGTGCTAGGGTATTTACAATCAGTGACTTTCTATAAAACTTTGGCACGCCAATGTCTACGTACCTCTAGTCCAAGAGTGGTGGATATATACATTAAGATATTGTAGCCTAATACGACAAATCGTACAAGATAACATTGTGCCTAAGTATAGCTATCTAGAGATTGATGCTTAAGACAGTACCATTCCTGTTGTGTTCTATCACATCTGTCTTCTGTTATTATCAGTTTTCCCCTTTCGGAGAAATTCTCGTTTGATGAGATATTTTTTTTTTAAAGAATATTAATTAGAATACTAAAATTTCACTGGGTTTAATGATGGCTCTAGCAAACGGTGGTTAAGCGTTCGAAGAAATGGAATTAAGGAATGTTCTAAACAAGCTGTTTATGAATTTAGGTTGAAGAATCAATGATTCCATATATCATATCAGTTTTACTTTAAAACATCACAAGATATTATAGAATCCTTGAAATGACCCCACTGAGAAACATGATTTAATACCGAGAGCTTATGAATGGCTATTAATCAATCTGTTCGGAGTAAGGTCAACCCTGTACACTTGCTGGTTTGTTTCTACTTGGTGGTGCGTAACACTTTTCGGCTGTTGTCAACAATTTCGTTCAAGATAAGAGTGATTATTCTTGGCGTGAGGCATGCTTGAGCTAAATCTTGGGGGACAAAAGAAAAAGAAACAATAGACATTAATTATTGACTCAGGTGTTACTTTCAGAAGAGGTGGAGGCTCACATTGGACGGCAATAATGGCTTCTTCTTCTTATTATTATTATTGAAGTTGATGGATATTATTAGACTGAAATTTTAATGGGTATGTGTCAAGGATTTATATATTTTGTATTCATCATCGAAATCGTGTTTTAAACCAAGATAACGTTATTTCACTTGTTACTTGAAGGACGAAGGACATCAGTTCGAGCAATGAGAACAGTTTGTTAAAAAAAAAAAAATTCAATACACGTTTAAGATATTTCGTGGATTAATATATGTTTTGAAGTTATTTGGAACACCAATCTTGACTGTAAAACTCAAGTCCATAAATCGTGTGATTTGTATCCATTCATCAGTACAAGAAGTTGGATATAGGGCCCTTCTCTCCTGCCTTTTGATGAATAATGGTTCTTATCCATCTGAAACTGAAATACTATACAAAGTGTGTTTTGTGCATGTGGATCAGAATTTCTAACAGTGCTAGAACAGAATTCTGACATCAATTGATTTGAAATTTGTAAACATATGACAACACAACACGTCAACACCCAATTGGATTTAGATATAGACGCATATATGCATGTGTAAACGACATCATGTGAATCACATAGATTTATCCAAAGCCCTCTATGCATCTAGGAATATTTTGAGACTAAAGTTACAAGAACTATTGAATTTATTGTCAATTGTGCCCTTTATTCTTTTTCGTTATGATAATGATTGCCTTTTATGAAAATCAAGAGTAAGAGGATGGTTCTAATTCATGCATGCTCTAATGGTAAAAGTTGAAAATTTTGTCAAAAAAAAAAAACTGAAAATAGTTTATATTTCGCTGATCAAATTCAGAGTGAGTAATTACCTTGTCTCCATGATTGCGTAATTGTACGATTTTCTTATCCAAGGTTTATGAGCTATGGGCCTCTGTTTTCATAATCTTAAAATGAAATGGGTCGGAAACTATTCTCTGTGAAAGGCCCAATATCTCGAGTCCAAGTTCAGCCCATTTGCAGCTCTCAAAGCTGGGCGCATTTTATCGGAGTAGCCGGTAACTGGCTAACGGCAACCAGCACTGTGGCGCAAGTTACGGTTTCGTCGAAAGAGGTTAGTATTATTTATGGCTGAGGAGGGTAACAAACGGGATAAATATCCACGGGAAACGGCGGCGTAGCTTCTCTGCCTCTTTCTGGGCAGATGCAACCGACTCCGATGATGAACTAAACGAAAATGGAAAATCGCTTTATTATAACTTTGTCGTTAATAATGATCTGCCGTTGCGTAATCAGAACGCTCAGTCGTTGACCATTTCATAGAGAAACGAACCCTTCTCAGTCGGGTCGTGAAGGTTGGATCGCGATCCCAATCACAATCAGGGAACCATCATCGTCATTTTTATGTCCTAGGGGAAAAAGTTTCCATCCGATAAGGAGACGGGAGAAACTCCTCTCAGTTGAGATTTTCTTTTCCTATTAAAAAAAAGTAACTAATTATAAATTAAGAGCAAACTGATTAGGATGATTTATTTGCACTTAGAGAACTAAATTTAAGATTAGAATATTTGAATCCCAATCTCCATCCACACATATCCAACTAAATTTGTGCCAAAGAAACCAGATAAGAAATGACATACTGTATTTAGTATGTTCCAGTTTAAAATACAAAATTCAATTGAATTCCATACAGTTAATGTTATACCTAATAAATTTATAATAATTAAGAAATATATGAACCAATAACAATATATTGATAAATATAATATAGGTATTATATATAACAATATAAATAGTGTAATTGAAATTTTTGGGGTTGCCGCTTGTTGCCTTGCCTGATTGCAATAGAGACTGGCAGTCAGAGATTGAACTATTATATTTTCTCTATTCAGTGCATGGAGTCGAAGAAATATATAAAAAGAAGAAATATAACAGAACATGCAGAACTATTTATACAATCTATCATTAAAGAGTAAATACTATTATTTAGCTGAGAGTCGTATTAAATTCAAAAATGAAGCAGTTTTTCCACTAATTTTCTGCTTCATCAGCCAAAGAAACCTTACTTAGTCTACTAGGCAATGTTCTTGCGTCAATGTTATTGTTTCTAACCTTTCTGCTTCCAGCTCTGCGGCTGCTTGATCCGTAGAGTGCTCTATGTGCAAGCGCTTTTCCAAACCCATGTGTAGTCAATGCCTTGCTATGAACTGAGGATTCAGTTGAATTTTCATGGTTGCTGTCATTTTGGATGTTCGTCACTTCAGCATTACCTTTCTCACTGGCCATCTCTCTCTCTCGCTCTTGCTCCTTTGGATGATTTGAAGGAGCTCTGCAGTGAAGAAGCCAAGACAAGATTATATTGATCTTTTCTGATTTCACATCAGCATTTTTGATAGTGGAATCTGAAGATGGCAAAGTTATTAAGAGCAAAGTAGTTCATGGCGGAAAGGAAACTACAAGATAAAATTCTTTTGCTAAAACAATGAGTTAATAAATGTATCTTTGAAGGGAAGACACCAAATGTACTAAAGTAGCAACCTTTAATCTGCACAGCTATTATTGTCAGTTTAATTATCTTGATCTTTTTTTTGACGCAAAGACAGGAATTGATATTTGGATACTACTTTTTTTCTTTTTAACATTTGTCTTTTAAGATGGATGTTAAATTATTTTCACCGATTTGAGTAAATGATAAAATTGCCAGTTTTGAATTCAAAAATCCCACCTCAGTAAATGGATAAACTTCCCAGTTTTAAGTAAACTGATTCATTGATTATGTCTCTTAAGTGCCTTTTTTTTTTTTTTTTTTTTTTTTACTTTTTTTGTCTTTTTAACATTTTGTCTTTTAAGATGGATGTTAAACTTATTTTCAAACCGATTGAAAGTAAAATGATAAATTGGCAGTCTTTGGAATTCAAAAATGCCCACGCTGACAGTAAATGGATAAACCTTCCCAGTTTTTAAAGTAAAACTGATTCAATGTGATTATGTCTCTTAAGGGTGCCTTTTTTTTTTTTTTTATTTTTTTTTTTTGGGGGGGGGGGGGGGGGGTGGGGGGAAGAAACCTTTGTGTGTGGGAAAAGTGAATGATTGTCCAAAGAGGGGGGGTGGGGGAAGAAACCTTTGTGTGTGAAAAGTGAATGATTGTCCAAGAAAGTAGCGGGCGCTCGCACCAAAATTTGGCTTTAGTGCATGTGACCGTGCTGGTGTCTCTATGCTTGTGAATTTTACTAGCACTGTTTAAAAGAAAACTTTAATAGATATTTGATAACCTTTTTAATCAGCCGGCTGATTACAAGTTTCTCTAATTTATATTTATATTCTATTTGAACTTAATTAACCTGATAAAAATAATTATTAATAAAATCTTTTTTTTTTTCAAATTAATATTTTCTATGATCATTTTATTGTAATTATTAAAAATTATACTTTTTCTATTAAATATTTTTTTTAATTTTAATTAATATTTTTATTTATATAACACATTAAAATAAAAGATGATATATTCCCTATATATATATAGATCAAACTATATAGAAACACTTGTCCCTCTTTACTTTTTAATAGCAATTGCTATCAAAAGTTCACTAAACACCAGCATTTGTCGATTAACCGCTACCGTTTACCAACTAGAAGCCACTGGCTCATAAGAACTGCAAAACCAAATAGACCCTTTATTTCAGGAGAGGCGAAGGTAATAGGACATTAATAATTAACGGACTTCAATCACTAGGACCTGGAATTAGAAACTTCGATCATATAACTAAAACCTAATACTAACAAACAACCTAGTATCGTAATAAAAATTAACCATGAAATTAACATTAAGAAAAAGGGATACAAACCCATGCAGCATTTTTTTTTTTTTCAAATTGATGAGAAAACATAAAATTTAGATCATATGCCGCACCTCACCTCTTTGTTTGTTACTGTTAGATGCTTGTAAGAGTCACGATATCCATCAACAATGAAAAATAATCTATATGCTTTGGTCCCCACATGCTCAACCTATTGCCTGATCTCAATCATATCTTTTTTTTTTTTTTTTTTTATAATCTTTTTTTTTTTTTTTTTTTTTTTTTTTTTTTTATCCCTTCTTTACCCTTTTTATTTTTCTGTTGCATAAGTAGCAGAAGATTGGACATTGGAGTAGCTGTAAGTTCTGTCTCTAGCTTTTGGACTGATATCATATCTATCTCCATCGCCAGTTATAAACAATCAAATACCAATATCCGTCATAGATATTTTGCTTTTGTCATTTTACCACCTTTTCCAGATTAAGGGAATGACTTGATGTTGAAACAATCCAAAAAAATTGTCTAGTCTCTATCTATAACAACTTTAGACAGTCAGATTCCGACTGAATCCAGGAACAATAGTCGCTAAGCCACTAATTGTTTCCCATTACGTAAAATTTCAGATTGCACAAAAACTTTAGAAACTAAAAATTCCCGAAGCAATGGAGCTCTGAATCACTGATCAAGGCAGCTAGAAGCTAGAGCTAAACACAAAGCTTAAGCTTTATGTTAAATAATTAACATGGGGCAAGGAAATCTCTTAATAGTCTTCTAAAGAAAAATCCTAACTCCATTGGGGTTCAAAGGTTTTGGGTGTTGAGATCATACACGGTGGATAAAAACGACTATCTAGCAAGGAAGACGGTGTTGGTGGTTACAATGCCGATGGCAGCGAGTAAATGGTATTATTCACAGGCAGCATACACGTCAAGTGTGTGACTATGCAGAAGGTAATTAAAAAGTAACAAATAAAAGCTTGTGTCATTCACAAGGAACATGCAATATTTACCTGGCTTTTACAGTCTTACATATATGCCTTTCATGTGTAGAAAACCAGCAACTAGGCCCCAGAAAAGGATTTCCACAATTACAAAAGCTAGTTTGCCCCATTTATGAGAATGAAGCATGTGTTGCAACAGTGATTCTGTGCCATTAACCTGAAAGTCATATTTGGTGAAGTCAGCCTATAAACTATCAAGTAACATCTCATTCCGTCATATTTTCAGCACGTTCAATATAAAGCTAAAGAATTCCCTTCATAATTCAGCACACAAGGCTCATTTACCCCAAATTACTTCTTTCCAAGATGACAAATAATGAATTTAAGCACATAATTGGATTTTTTTTTTTTTTTTATTTGGTGGCGCCAGTGTAAGAGATTATTGGAACTAAGAGCCAAAAAGAGAATAAATGCCTTACCAAGTTGTTTTCAGTTGATTGCCAATAGAAACCTTGCAGGGCTGCTGGGAAAAGGTCACAGGCAGCCAAAGCATATATTATGAGCGCATTCATTCCCATCCACTGAAGTATCACTACGGGTTTTCTAAAATGTTTGACATCAACCTGCACCACATATGGTTGAATAGGAAGACACATCTCTCATAGCTGTACAGTATCCAAAATCTCAGTTCCCTATTCTTTTCATAACAATTTCACTTGGGAAAGGATGATCCACAAAGTAATTAGTATCACTTTCAGAAGAGAGAAGAAAAAATTCAAGTGGACTATTGTATTGTTATCAAATTAGGTGGTTTAGACAGATATGATCATTGCTTCCCTTCAAGTACCTCACAGCAGAAACATATTATGAGTCAATTAAGTAGTCACGTTGTATCTGTTTCTTGACAAGGATTCTAGCACATTGAATTATTACCTCCATGCATAAATGTATACATGCACAAACAAATAAAATAGGACAAAAAACTTACTATATAAAATAAAATAGTTAAAAGCAGGCCTGATGCTCCTGTTGTGATGCACATATAGCTCAATGTATACAGTGGTTTAGAAAAAGGAATGCCTGCAATATTCACAACCATTATTAGGGGCAAACAGCAAATCTCCTCAACAAATTGCTGATGCGTGAGATTATTCTAATAAGAAATTACCAAGCAGTTCCAAAACATATCCAGTAATCAGCAAAGAGAAAGAAGACATTGTCCACAAGAGCACCCTCTCCATGTGGTCCTGCAGCAAATGAGTATGAACATGTATTATAAACAGAATCCATCAAATTGCCTCATGAAGACTCATGTACAAGCATTTCATATGAATCATGATTAAAGAACAGAAAGTGATTAGCTTGTAAAAGTGTACATACCCCTAACAACAAGAAGTATCATACCTTAAAATGAGCAACTATATGCCCGAAATGCAACCCCAAAAAACATGTAACAGCAGCCATCAAGGAACTGGAGATATTTGTTCATCAAAACAATTTAGTAATCATACTTAAATACCTAAAAGACAAACATTATCAAAATATCAACTTGAGCAAAACCCCAAAAAAACATGTCCCTGGCTTGCTTAATTCACACATTGAATTTTTATGAAGATCAACTTCCCGTTTCTTTTCATCATTATCGGATTATGTGATTCATAAACTACGTCTACAGGTCTTTCATATCCATAAATTAAAGTCAAAATATGGTAAGTTGATATATATTAGTAAATAGTACAGACAGTGAAGAAGCAGAGAAGCAAAGGCAGCATTAACCTTAAAAGACCCTCAGGATCAAATGGAGCGAGGCACCATGCAGGTGCATTTGGTGGCATAGGTCCATAGTCAGGAGAATTCACACTGCATTGCTATAGGAAAAATTAAGGTCAAGGTCTTTCATATGAAAGAAACAACACTTAAATTTAACCCAGGGAATCACCTTTGTCCTTCTGTACACAGGACGCTGATACAGATGATGTTCACCGAGAAAGAATCTATCAATCAGGCCAACGGCATTACAAGGTGGTTCAAGACTTCCCCTCACTCCACATGTCACCTAGAAATCATGTATGTTGGTTTAAATTCGATAAAATAGAGAGGCTTCTAAAGAAAAGAAGATAGGAGGGGAACTATAATTAAAGGTTCAAACTAGAAAGACTTGTTGAAGAATAAAGTTTTATTTATTTCAATAATTAACTAACATTGTATATCTGGCAGTTATATCACTCTCACATCATAAACTTCTTCTCAAGAAAGAAAATTGATTTTCAATGTTTAATCTTGTCAGAACATACTTTTGATAGTGTTCAAGACTGAACAGTTTAACTGATTGCAGTTCAATGTATCAAGAACTTCTGTAACATGTTTAATTGCATGACATTGCAATTAGCCGCAAGGACTACATTCAAACAATAATTTGTGCTTGAAATAATGGACAGTCAATAAATAGAAAGCAGACAAGGTAACAATCGCATATTCCAAACAAGAAAGCAATAAAGCTACTAGCTTATAATGTGCAGTCCCTTGAAAAGATATGATAAAAGAACTGAAATGGTATGTCAAGAACAAAATGCACTCAGTCATTTAGAGAAAGGATCAACACCCTCTTTAAGATAGAAAATGGTGGACAAACTTATATTCATTGAATAGTCAAATAATGCATCATAACTCAACCAAAAAATGTATCATCCTCAAGTACGGACAGATAATCAATAGTAGAACAGATAGCTCAAATAAGATACCAGACATTTCATGATGGAGAATGTATCACAATTAACTGTATTGATGGTCTAAGTATTCATGACTGATAATGTGTAAGATCTTTCTTGATGGTATAAGGTTACATGACGGATAATGTGAATTTGAAACTTGATAGAACTTTTTTTCAGTAAGTGTAAAAATCATACGGTTCAACTCACATTTTGAGTACCAGATCCATAAGCAAACAGATTTATGCTTGGAGCTTCAAATTCCCAATTTGGAACATAAAGACCATACAATAAGCACATATAAGATAAGCACAGTAAGAAACAAACCATCCTGCAAAATAAAAAAAAAGTTATATGCTTCCAAAAAGGTCAAACAAACGAGAGATATGGAAATGACTTTGACTTAAGTAACTCAAAGTTAATGACATTTTTATAAAATTCACTAAACAGAAAGGTATAATTTATTTTGCCATTGATGCGAACAAAATGCCTTAGGACTGTAACGAATTAAAATTACAATAAATAATAAAACAAACCTAGAGTGCAGGTACACAATCAAAATTTATGGAATTTTAAAATGAAAATACATTTGGATTAGAACAATCCTTCATAAATTATGAGTAGAACACCATACAGTACTAGAAATGGTATAACTTCCAAGTAATAGAACTAACCACTGAACGTAGTATTTCTTCACAAAAGCTAAAGGAGAGTCAACGATGATATGGTCCACAAGCCAGATCTCTGACATTGAAGCGAAGAAATACCCAATTGAAATCCTCTGTAAATCATAAGTGCAAGATAAACTTGAAAATTTTATAAGAGCATATATCTGCAGCAGTAGTCACATCTAAATTGCCAGTCATAACAAAAACAAACAAATCAAACAGAAATGACACCATGCGGAAGAACTATACATATTCATGTCAGATGAAATTTTATATAAAGTGCTCTCCAGTCTAAGCATGTATTATTCACTAGTTCATGCACTCAGAGCTCATGATGTTGCCTATTAATCTCCTACAACTCATTGGCCCATCTTCATCATTCCAAAATTCATTTCCACAAATTAACATCTGCTTAAAACATGGAAGATGCATACCCCATTTCTAAAGTTTAAACCCACCACATGCATAGTGCCCGATTACCCCCAAAATCAAGATCCCGACAGCATAAGGGCACCAAGAACTAGCATTGGGGGAATACAAAGAACAAAGCACCTTTAACAAAGCAGTGATCACTCAAGGAAAAAAGTCTGCCAATAAAATACCAAACTTAATGCAACTGATTGTTTAAGAATGCTACCTGTAGTACACCCATCCAACGTATCTTGCTCACATCAACCCCATAAGTTAAATGGTTTCGCCCATGGAAATACCCACCTTTATAAATTCAAATAAGAAACACAGAATTCCAAATTTTATCAGCACTGCATTAAAGTGCTCTCCAGTCTAAGCATGTATTATTCACTAGTTCATGCACTCAGAGCTCATGATGTTGCCTATTAATCTCCTACAACTCATTGGCCCATCTTCATCATTCCAAAATTCATTTCCACAAATTAACATCTGCTTAAAACATGGAAGATGCATACCCCATTTCTAAAGTTTAAACCCACCACATGCATAGTGCCCGATTACCCCCAAAATCAAGATCCCGACAGCATAAGGGCACCAAGAACTAGCATTGGGGGAATACAAAGAACAAAGCACCTTTAACAAAGCAGTGATCACTCAAGGAAAAAAGTCTGCCAATAAAATACCAAACTTAATGCAACTGATTGTTTAAGAATGCTACCTGTAGTACACCCATCCAACGTATCTTGCTCACATCAACCCCATAAGTTAAATGGTTTCGCCCATGGAAATACCCACCTTTATAAATTCAAATAAGAAACACAGAATTCCAAATTTTATCAGCACTGCATAAATAAGTAAAAGGAGTATATAATTAACTCTCATACTCAAAACAAGCGAGCAGCATTCACTTACACAGATGGAAAACATTTGGATACCATTTAAATTAATTGTTGAGAACTTTTAAGTCAGTTATCTTACATGCAATGGTAGAAAATCTTGATGCCTATAGCAGATGGCAACCTACCTTGCAACAGCAAACCCAGAAGAAATAGTTTAATTGTCCTCAGTATGACTTTCTTGGTTGCAATTGTTTTGCTAGATATTTTCTGCACAGAATCATGTATGATGGCTGAAGAAAATTAATTGAATTGCTTCAAAGAATCTCCAAAGTATACATACATATATAGTTATACTCCAGCACTGGTTCATCTCATATGACTACTTGCAGTTCCTAATTATTATCTTCCACTTTTAAATGGAACTGAACCACAGTGTTGAATATTCTCCATTATCATACATCCTTAAACAGTATTGAATTAAGAGAAATTAGGAGACACAGCTGAAGCACACAACCAGACAGTTTAAAAAAGAGGTTTTATTGTCAAATAGTGAAATTATTTCTATCCATTGTGTATAAAAATGAAGCTATAATAATTTCACACAGCAATGCTACTCTGATCTCATATGCAAAAAAAGGAAAAATCAACAATGACAATTTCTGTAGCAAAGGGTTAGAAAGTTGAAAAAAGCATCAACAAGTTAACCAGCTTACATGACACATATTCACCGACACACTACATAACATAATTGAACGGCAAGCTCAATTCACAAAGAAATTCCCTCACCTTAAATACCAAACCGATAGAAACACCAACAACAAAGAGGAAAAATGGCATCACGAAATCTGCTAGTGTCACACCAAACCATGGGGAATGATTAATGGAAGGAAAAGCTCCTCCGGCATCATCAACTAAAATCATGAGCTGTAATAAATAACAGGTGCATTATTATGAATGGATGACCAAAGAGGCAAAAAAAACTTAAACGAGTCTGCGATTAATGTATCATTTTTATTCTTTAATTAATTTCAAGATAAGAATTAACCAAATGAAGTACTCAAGCTTAAACATTTTGGGATTTCAATAACACTCAATTAGTGTTCAATATTAATTTCCACTGGCTAATCAGAAACAACAACCAAATAACACAGCATATATATCCTAACTCCTGATGACACACCAAAAATAACTTCCAAAAATTGTCATCATCTCATCAAAATCAAGTTTAAGTGAACATGGAATTGAGATATTAGGGCCGTACCGCGACGGTGAGTCCACGGAATACGTCAAGAGAAATAAGACGTTGATTAGGTGGCGGCTGTGCGTCTGCTTCGTTGGATGATGAGGAAGGTACGATCTCTGACTCGCGTTCGTTGGCATTTGAAAGTGGAGCATTATGGAGTAGAAGAGGTTGCCGTCGTTCATCTTCTGTCACTGCGATCAGAGTTGACATCTCTCCTTCTCTCTCCGAATGTTTGGTTTCTCTTTCTTGTTCTGGTGTCAATAGATGGCGCGAGGAACAACTGCTTCGAGCGGCACTCTACCACTGGGTTGACCGACCAAACGGTTTCGGCTGAGGTCTGGACTGAACGTTTGGTTAAACCAACCACCTTCGCATCAATTTTATTTTTTTTAATTTATTAAATTTATTCTATTTTTTAATTCTTTCGAACAAATTTAACAGGTTTGAATATTAAACAGATTTGCATAATGTATTTTAAGTGGATAATCTACTTGTTGCCAGACTATTCAAACTTAGCCTTTACTCTAGAAAAAATTAATCATTGACTTGGGTTCAAACCGAGCCTAGTAAAGATATACAGTGAATGTATATTTATTATTTGCACATCCAGCTATAATTAATTGTCATTTAATCTTTATTTAGATACAAGTTTTTTTTTTTTTTTTAAGAAGGAAAATAACTATATCAATTATCCTGCGAAAGATAATCTTTGTTGTTTGGAGGAAAGAAAAAATATTAAAATAAATAATATTTCACTTATTTTTATCTAACTTTATATATTTTAAATCTCGGAAACTAAATTTGGAAAGAAAATAATGAAAAAATGAAATTTTCATTTATTTTATTAAATGTCTAATGAGTAAAAACAGCCTGAATTTTTTTAATAATTTTGGTGAATTCCTCAATTGATAAGTTAACTTTAATCAATTTTATATATTTTATTATTATTTAAGTGAGGATGTAATTATTAAGTTTAATATTTTTTATCTAAAATTTTACCTTTTTCTAAACAAAAGACAATAATTTTATTTTATTTTATTTATTATTTAATTTATATCCAAACAAAAAAAATAACAAAAATAATTGACTAATTATTATTTTTTCTATTATTTTTCTTTCTCCGTTATTTTCATTTCTATCATTTCCAAATAAAGCTTTAAAATAATGTTACTATTTTGTGTCTTTATTTTTCCAATGAAAATACGTGCATATCCTTCTTTCTTAAAGAAACACTCATATGTCATATCCTTCTTTATCATTAATTTCAAAAAAAAAAAAAAAATGTATAAAAAATTAATTTATCTACTTTGAATGTAGGAAAACAATGCGGGCTATAGATGTAGTTTTTGTTCAGAGGGAATGATAACTCCTTCTTTCTCTGGTTTAAGGGCAATTGTCGTACTTTACTTGGCGTTATATTTGTTCTACCCCACGACTTTTGGAGTAAGACAATTTTGCCAGAAGTAATGGATTTTTTAAATTTTTCCTTGGGATTTATTTTCTGTTCTTTGTCTTGTTTTCAGGTTTGAGTCCTATAAGAAATAAGTGGATTCCGTATGTGAAGCGGTTAATACGTCCAAATGAGGTATGGCCAATGAACGTTCCGGGTTATAGGAATTAGAGAGAGCAGATTTTGATTTCCATTGCGTAGCATAGAAATTTTGCCAGCTTGTTCTTTTGATTCATTTCACCACAGAGATTGTCAAAGGTGAAGCACGCAGAGATTGGTGCGGGCTAATATGTTTCTTGACGGATTTTCTATCTTTTTAGAAACCTGCTAATTACAATGCTTTAATAAAATCTTTACTATTAGGGTCGATTCTTTTTAAATTTTTGTAATTTATTGTCAAATTGTTAATTCAATAAATTAAAGAGAAAAATGATATGGATTATCTGAATATTTTCAACCTTGTCCGTTTCGGATACTTTCGCTGACATAAATAAATAAATCAAAAAAATTTCGTCCTTTCTATTTGGGACGTTATTATTATTTGTTTGAGTAAGAATAGGTAAATGAGGTTATTTGGTGTTTGTATTTGAAAACCTTGGGCTAGGTATTGTTGGGACTTGGGGACATATTAAAAAGATAATTTTTAACAGATTTAGGAATATATCTAATTATTATTGTCCTTCGGGATTCTTGCCAGATTAGAAAAAAGCCATGTCATAGATAAAAAGCGATATAATTAAAAAATTAGACGGTCGCATTTATTTTAGTTTGCTGCTCGACCAAACAGAAAGTTTGCTGTCGTTTGAACTCTTTATTTCTTTTATGCTAGATCTACTCATTGGGATCGAACTTAATAGGAGTTAAAAGTCTCACAACATTACAAAGAAAACTGATAATGACTCAATACTTCTAGCTCTATCTATCATCCACTCTTACGAAATAGTTCTTCCATTGTCGGAATTCATTCCCTAAGGACTAAAATCTAGTTCAATTTAGGGCATATTTAAAAAGAAGAAAGATTATAACAATCTCAGCTAGGAAGATCGTTGAAAAGAAAAATAGAGTAGATGAAAGCCTAGTGATGGATGGGGCATAAAGTAGGTTTTTAAAACATCCATAAAGAAGGATGAGTCAAATATTCCTTCTCTGTGAGACCAATGACAAGGTCACAGGCTTAAATTGTCTTAGAGTTGGGCATTACACACTTTTATCTAAGCACATAGGTGAAACAGAATTACGCAGCTCAATTCTTAGCCCGCAGGGCCAAGTTTTCAAGCGGCAAAGAAGCCGGCGCACCCTTGATTTCTGCCAAAGAAATTTTTTTGTTCTACCATCTGAAGTTATAGATATTGTATACGTTTGAGCCCAAAGACCTTTTCAAGCAGAGGTGTGATTTCAGGATGACCCTTGTAGGAGGTGGGCTTGATCTAAAAACAAGAGAACTTGGAACTGAAAACGTTAGAGGCATTAGCGTATTAAAGATTTTGGCCCAAATCCTACGCCCTGCATCTCGCTCATCAAATTTAATGAGTTTTTTTCTTTAAATTTTTAATTTAAATTAAAATACTATATTCACTTTTCAATTTAAATAACATAACGAAAAAATTACCATTGTAAGTTCAGTAAACATAATTGTGTAAACACATAGGATGAATGGTTCAATTATTAATTAGTATTGTATAATGGTTCAAATATATAGAGAAATAAGTGATAAAGACAAATGTCATTTTATCGACTACACTGGAGGGCGGCCATCTTATAAATTGTTGTGTTGGAATTTTTATAATGATTGGTGGGTGGCTTTGTATTTAAAAATCTTACTTATGCCGATTTTTGACTTGCCAAGAACAATAAATTCGAATATTCCGGTCATTGTAGGCCTCATTTACTCATAGGAAAAAAATTGGGGTTCATAGCAGGGAAACTGGTTAGCATTTGGTAGTCTCTATCAAAAGCTTACCTCCTCCTTGGCGAATCAAGAGGACTTCATGTTCTGTTTGCTTCCCATTTTCATTTCTCAGCAAGCGCACATGTAATCTGTGACTGCCATGGAGGCACTAGCCTAATTAAGATTGCAGGGTCAGGTAAACTATTGAGATAATTTCTATCTTTCAACCATTTGACCATATCGAAACATCAAGTCAAGTGCCTTACATACCAAATGGGTCAATGTCTCACCAGAAACAATAAGATCAAAACAATATATAAAGGTCATAACTCATTTACGTGGCGCGAACAATAGGAGTACCTGAAGTAGAAAGGTGACATAATAATTGTCTGATACCTTAACTTCCGCTCTGTATGTATTAGGGATAACGACATGGGTTTTTGTTTTTATTTATTTTTGTTTGCAAAGAAGAGTGGTAACAAAATAACTTTATCTCCTGACCTCACTAAAGAATAATATACCTGCTCCTGAATTATTATATGAGTTCAATCTTTGTTGTTATCTTTTTTATTTTTGAGAAGAGAAAAAAAGCGAATTAAAAATATTATTAAAATATAATTAATTATTTCACTGGCGGTGAATCTCTAATTTATCTAACTATTATTTTTTATAATTAGGGTTTAAATCTATACCGGAAGGAAAAACCTCATATGAATAGTTTAGGAAAAGAAACAATAAAAATATATAAGGAAATGAAACCTTATTTCATTTATTTTCATAATCGTGTGAGAAATGGCTTATATCTGATCTCCAGATGTAGCTAATTTCACTCTAAACCTGATTTGATTGTTTGTGTTTTAAGAGCAAATAACAAGTTTTAGCACAAAAGGAGAATGAGGAAAAAGTTGACACATTAATTGGGATATATAAAAGTATAAACGATTTTAACATTTCAATTTATGTTATTAAAATATGACTATTTTTCTTTTCCTTCAATTTAAAGTAATTTGTCAGGACTTAATTTGTATAGAAACCAATTATTTTAAAGTTTAAACTAATTGTTTTATATCACCCTATTAAAAATCATTTTACCTATTTTTCATAAACAAAAAAGGCGAATAAATATTATTATTGTGTACTCTCTAATAAAATTTATTTATTAATTTATATCCAAACAAAAAAAATAACAAAAATAATTGACTAATTATTTATTTTTTTTCATAATTATATTTATACGTTTCTCCGTCCTCATTTTCATTTCTATCATTTCCAATGAAATTAAAGTCTTGGTAACCAAATTTAACAGTTCGTTAATACTATTTTGATGTAGTCTTTAATAGTTTTCCTATGAAAAATTACGAGTGCAAACTATAGGTTAAATCTCCTCCTCTTTCCCTATATATAAGATTACCACACTAAAGCAGATTTAATGTCATTGATTCCTTCTTTATATACTATTAATTTCAAAAAATAAAAAAAAACATCATCGAATATACAACAAACAAAAAGCAAACCATACAAGTCCCCGAATATACTCAAAAAAAAAAATTTAAGAGAAAATATAAAATAACCCTAAGAATAATACAAATCTGAAAATTATACCCGTCCATCTTTCAGAGCAAAGGCAGAGTGAGAGAAAATTGCAGAGGATGATAATAAATGTTTACAAAAATTGGTATGCGATTTGTATACGGTCTTCATATTAAGTTCCCCTTTCTTTTTTAATCTGTAATAAAAACATGAGATTATCGTGAAACAGATGATTTCTCAGAGTGTGTTTATGAAATTTTACTTGGGTCTCTTCGAGAAGTTAGATTATACATTCAGTATTTAAGGAGATATCAAATTAACCAAAATACCCCGCGCTGCTCTTCAAATTATTATGACTGGAACCCATGAGGTACCCACTTCATAAGATCAAAACCTCCTCCCGGTGAGAGAAATTACATGCTTGCGGCGGTGGATAGTTATCGAATGTGACCACACAGTAAAACATGCCTAAATCGGTCTATTAGATGCCTTGGACTATTCCTGT